AAGTCTTGTGAAACTCGAAATTACGTCTTGTGAAACGCGAACTTACGACTTGTGAAACGTGAACTTACGACTTGTGAAACTTGAAATTACGACTTGGGGAAACTTGAAAATCCAATTCAGAAACTCGAAATTTCGGCTTTCGGATTCGCCATATAGATGTGTTCAAAATATTGTTTACACATTTCAATGAGATTCAGAAAAATTAGATTTAAAAAAAAAAGTATTTCAGGTGTGCCTCAAAGGCTTGATCATTATTAATTAATGAAATAATAAGATTGCCTGACACGAACATCCTTATTATCTATAATCTAGATTTATTGTCTCCTGTGATAAAATTATAGCCATATAAAGAGATTTAATCGTCTAATATTCGTTATTCAAGGTTTTACAAACTTCTTATTTGTTAATCAAGGGCCCTGTTTGAAAGATTTACACCATTCCAATTTCCAGGCAGACCTTTGTGGAAACTACTAAAACTAGGTGTTTTGTTATAAAGTCACTAATTGAAAACGGTCTTATGTAATATGGAATAGTGCTAATTGATGGTATCATAGTCCCTGGTAAAAATAAAAAGCTCAATTCATTTTCTAGCCTTTAATATCGGTATCAATTTTGTTGTTATATTATTATATTTTACAGGAATAACAGCTACTATTGGTAACAGTTTGGTGGTTATACTTATTTTAACAGATAAAACACTAAAGAAAAGTCCGCACAATCTATTGCTGTTAAATATGGCCGCCTCAGATTTGGGTATATCTATCCTGGGATATCCACTAACAACTGCTTCTAATTATGCTGGGAGATATCTGTTTTCTGACTATGTTTGTGTTATTCAAGGATTTTGGTGTTTCACCTTTGCTCAAGCGTCTTTGAACACTCTGATACCAATCAGTATATACAGATATATTGTTGTCTGCAAGCCTCATCTAAGTAAGTACAATGTATTTTTTTCGAAAGAGTTGCAAGTTACTATCTAGCTTCCTTATGTTCATTATGTTATGTGATCATTAAAAATAAATGTTAATGCCTTTATAACGATTCTATTTGCCATTGAGAGCTTCGGTCATCTTATGCCACTGGCATATTCACATACGAAAAGCAGCTATTGAAATTGGTATTTCCATATATCAGGCGTACGAACAGATAGTGAACAGCCTTTGACTACGCCAGTTATAGGACAAAACCTACAAAACTTTGGATGTTTTGGGGTCCTTTGGGTGTTTGTTTCTTTGGATGGGGGAGGGGGTGTCTGTTACGAGTAAGGTACATGTATTTCGTCTAAGGAGTATAATAAATTAGTTTCTCGTTTTTCTATTTTCCAGATTATTACCTGACGAAGAGAGCTACAGTATCAGTTATATTGCTAGTTTGGATCTACACTATAGCCTGGACAGCACCGCCTTTATTTGGTTGGAGTTCCTATACTTATGAACCATTCGGTACCTCCTGTAGTTTAGATTGGGGAAGTCCCAAACCACTCGATGTCTCCTATATTTATATTCTCTTTTTTTCCTGTTATCTACTTCATATCGCTATCATATCCTATTGTTATTATTATGTTTACAAGAAATCCGTCAATTTAAAACTGCATCCAGTCCGAGCCCCGATATCATACGAACATGCTGTTGAATATAAAAACTATCGAGCTGAATCCAAAATCACAACGGTAAGTACATGGTGATAATTATTGTACCAACTAACGAACTCCGTGGACACTCAAAAAAGGAATGCCAAAAGTTGATTATTCAGTACAAACTGATAAAAACTGACCATTTCAGACACAATCCTCACTAGGACAACTTACAAGGCTATTCTGACAAATGTTTAAAGTGCCGTTTTTAGGCCCTAATTGAAGTTTGGCCTAATTTTGACTAGACTGTCGAACAATGGAAGATTTCTGCATTCAGAATGATGTAAAAACTCAACTCAATGTGATGTTTATCACAAGGTGTGCCTTTAATTAATTTAGATTCTGGGCGTACGTCTATATACGTTGTGTCTTATACCTGACTGCAATAACCACTTTTCTTTTATCGATTTGGTTGAATTTTTGGTTAAAGCATTCGACAGATGGTTTGTAAACAATATGATGTTTACAGTCTGTTTTTCTAATCAAATAGCTGCATTCCGTGATACAATAAAGATGGCTATTGCAGTCAAGGTATGAGACGAAGTTCGTATTAACTCGACATTGTGAAGCTTACAAGTACATATCAGAGTTTCCTTTGTGTTACTCGTCTTTGCTTAGTAATTTAGCAGAATAACTCTAAGAGATTTGCATTTGTCCTGTTTGGTATCATGTACGGGCAACCGCTCGGTATTATGAATGCTTCTGTAGTATTCTTTACTGTCATCCGAAATCTGTGGTTTAGTCCTCACTTCTCACCAACCACTTATCTCTGTATTTATTGTCATTTTTTTTTTATCATTGCTTTTTCAGATGTGTGTAGTGATGGTAGTAGTGTTGATTATTGTTTGGGCCCCGTATACCTTTGTGTGTCTGGCGCTGATTTACAAACCAGATATACCAGTATGGTGGACAACACTACCAACAATGTTCGCTAAACTAGCCAGTATGCTGAATCCATTTATCTACGCTGCTACAAATTCTAAATTCCGGGCTACATTTACGGCAGTGTTTAAGAGCAGTAATATTGTGCAACCAAAGATTATGGTTAACCCAGAAAATCAGTTGATAGTAGAAGAGTAAGTACACCTGGGGTAATATTCTCCAAAACTTAATTTAAATAAAATCCAGATTTTAAGAAATGAAATAAAATGAATGGAGTTTTACATCCTACTTTTCTGCATCATGTGGGCTAATGAAGACGGGCAACGCCATGTAGGGTGCAATGAGGGACATTTTGCCAGGACAGTGTCAATAGCCTGCTCTTTTTTCGATTTCAACTATCGAGGGATAGCACACGGGGCACAGCCTGTAGCAAACGGGGCCTCGGTTTATTGTCCAATCCGACTAGAAACTGGCTGAACTATCTGGTTCATTGCTTTAAGAGCAAATTTTCGACTCCCATCTGGTATCTGTCTCTCTGATGGTGTTTTTTGTTTTTTTTAGAAGTAAACACTTTTATTATCACCTAGGTAACAATACTTATAGGTGGTTAATAATAGGGTGTTAATTCTTATTAACATGGTAATGATGCAAGGCTTTACGATAATAATTTTCACAATCGTGATAATTCATTCATTTCTCATTAATATCTTAGAAAAAATTTCATTATTAATATATTTTTTACGATTCGTATTGAGGAAGATACGGAAGCGTATTAGGGCCATTCCTTTTTTGGGGGAATTTCCAAGTTCAACATACTCACTTGAAAATTCAAAAAAAAAAAATGAATGTCCCTAATACGCTTCCATAGGAAGATACTTGGCAGACATTTTTTTTAAATGCAATAACATGTTATTTCAGAAGAAGAACTAATGTCAGCGATATATTTATGGTGGACAGGACAAAAGATGGAGTATATATTGGTCTCTCTGCTGTTGATATCGGCACAGGTCAAAGTTCAAGTTGTCCTGTATCACCAAGACATAAATGATTATGAGAAAAAGAGCAATCTCGTATACCATACTATAGCTGATGCTGGTGGTTTTTGCCGCTCTGATACTGGGAAAACGTTTCATTGTCTATACTAAAAGAAAACAGCTTAATTGATATCGCATATTGGTTCGGCAATCGGCATTGCATCGCATCGCGAAAATACTTGCCGTGACACGGTGCGTTCGAGATTAATTTGACCCCATGGAATCTATTTGCTTAGAAGACAATCATGTGTTTATGAGTTATCGAATGGTTGTTGCAGATAGGTAGAGTTCTGGCCAGAGCCTGGCCATTATCGCCAATGTCTTTGTTTCGTGTAGCCTATATAAGGAAGGTCTTGGTGAATTTCAAGTATATGTATTACGAACTGTGTCTTATACCTTGACTGCAATAGCTAGTATTCTTGTATCACGGAATGCATGATTTGATTAGATTGTACGCCAACGAATACAGCCAATTGAAACCCCCGAGAGAGGCAACAGTTTAACATTGTGAGATGGATTCGGAAAGAATAAACATCAGAATAATTAAGAAAATCATACACAATGAAACTGTTGCTTGTGATAAAATGAATTTGTTATTTAGGGTCATTTAACGATTTAAGGTGACATAAATCATAAACTTTTGAACAAGCTAACAATTTATGGCCCAACAGTTAATTGTCTTGAACATCGGCAATGATTTCTTGTCTTTGTGTACTATATCTGTCGCAAATGATTTATCTTACTTATATCTATAGCTGTGAGTGGTACCGCACGTGTGCTAAGCTAAGCTTGTATTATTTTGAGCCATGAAAATCGCCAATGGTGTAGCAAATGATATATATATTTGAATACCGTTTGAGAGAGATTGCCGCACCTTAGCTCGCATCATTTCTTAGCCATGAACTTCGCCACTGGTGTAGCAAATGAGATGTATTTGAATATCTGTCAGAAAGTGACAGAATGGTCAACCTGATGACGGTGGTTACTCGGTAGTACAAGTAGAATGACCGATTGTTTGAGGTTGCTGCTAGAATAAGCTTACATGGAACTGATATTACATTAATCTTGTTATATTCCGTGGATGGTTTGTTGTTGTACCATTTTTATCTTGTGTATATCCTTCCCAAACAATTCATTAGGATTTTCATATAAGATTGGGGTGCTTTCCAGTGACACTTTATTTCATTGAATTACCTCCCTTGAACTAGGAATATATTCCCGCATTTTAGTGCTCACAATTAGGGCCGAAATAGGATAAAAAAAATGTTACAATTTTCAAGTTTCCTTCATTAAGGAGTGCTTGAAATGTCGCTGCACGATCCTGACTTTATATAAGGGACTCTCTTGTGCTAAATTGATTTTAATAACTCGGTATGACGTACTGATCGTCAGTTATAGGGGTTGGATGCCTCTCCTTATTCCAAATAGGTTAAACTATGCGATTGATATCTTTGGTAAACATTTATTTTGATTAATGTTCATTTGATTTCATTATACATGTATGTTGATTATAAATATATATATCACAGTTGATTGAATACTGACACCTTACTGTTTAATTCAAAACACCAGAATACTCCTGAATAGACGAGAGCCCAGTTCCACCGGAGATGAACACAACATCTTGTAAGTGAGCTATATTTAACCGACTAGTAGCAACTACAACTTACGCGCGTACATATACACATACTTACGCTTACACTAAATTAACGTACATGAAAACTGCAGTCGTCGGGGCGATCGCCTTAATGCAGTAATTGATCAGATTTTGCAAGATACCGCCAGTTGCTAGCAATCGTTTAGAATCAGCTTTAACTTACATAAATATTTTAGATTGGGAAGAAGATTCTGTTTACCTATTCCCATTTCCTGTCCAACCTATATGGATTTCGGAACGTCCCTAAAATCTTGACAAGGTGATTGAAAGCAAGAGGTTGTTCTGGAAAAGTACGTGTAGTTACTTAAGATATCCTCGTTCACGTTAACCCGTTCAAGAGTAGAGGCCATTATCCAGTTAGTAAATGGTAAATTATAGATTTTTATCCAATGCACACGGTCTGATGAAAGTTTGCCCGATACTCCTTAACCATTTATTGGCCACTGAAACATAAACGATACATAATTAATCTAATAATAAGACTTCACACTCCACACCTTATGAACGGGTATTTTCTCTAACAGCAGAACGAGGTTGACAGGCTTTGAAGCGACACTTGTGTTCATTAACGGCAGACACAGTTTAACCAGTTTAATACTTTAATTTTAAGATGGCAATGATTTTCTCATATACCAAATGTCATAGTATTTGATCTGTTTTATGGTGCCAATTTTCAAGAGAAAGAAAGAAACAAACAAACAATTATTTTACAAGGATAACAGCAAATTGTCGTGCTAGTCCGTGGCCAAAGTTCTTGACAATGATCTCTTCTGTTTGCGGTTGGTTCGACGCGAATAATAAGAAATGATCACATTTTCATGGTCCAAAGTCTTTCTACTTGGTTTTGCAGCCTTTATTTATCAACAGATATGACCCGATTACAATATACATCAGGTTACTCACCCCACTTATCACCCAACACGACAGGACATCCGGCATGTAGCGTTCTAGAATCTGGAAGACCATTACGGAAAGTATTGAACCAAAATGCTGCTGTACCCTGCAATATAAGATTAGAGATATGGGAATCATGATGCCCTCATACCATAGTGATTACCAGTTACGCATGATTGCAAATAATGAAAGTGGTCATGAGTTCCGAACGCAAATAACATGCATGAGAGTTGCGTTCAAAACTCGTGACCGTTATTCTCATTTGCAGCAACTGGTAATCGCCATGGTGTGGGGGCTTAACACACACACATGGGGTTACCTGATCATACTGGACACTAGTCTGAATAATCTTAATGAAATATATGTATACAGAGTATCTTATTATGCCCACCATTTTGTATGCAGCCTGTTCGTCAAGTCAAATAGTAATAATCTACACAGTAACAAACATTGAAGTTAACAGAACAAGCGAAATAAGAAGAACAATTTTACAATGCAATATGACAACAGACCACAACGATGTCTAGATTCAGCTTCGTTTAATGGAGTTATCTCCCCTTTTACAAGATAAATGATATCTAACTTCAGCCAGTTCGATTCAATGATGGGTTTTATCACACACAGAAATAATATAGTCATGTAGATAGACAATCGTGTCAATTTACGTTGTTTAGCGCATTCCCAAATTACATCGCACTATATTGATCAGGCATACAACATCGTCATATAGTAATATTTCATGGCTAAATCAGTTCACTGACTTTCTCTGAAAGTGAATTCTCTATTAGATAGTCTACTCAATTATTGAAGACTTTTTCTAGACCAAATCAATTATCACATTTACAAAGTTCCCTTAGGTACATAAGTATAGTATGTATTGTTAATGTAACGATGTATCAATGCGACAATATACTTAACGACATTCTTACCTTTCTTGCCGGAATTCTGGCTTTGGCACGTGGAAAAACTGTCGCTCCACCAAACTCGACATCACTTAGCTAAAGAAAAGAATCGAAATAGATAAACAGGCTTCACATAACGCACATATCACCAAACTGTAGATTCCAGATTTGTAGCGGGGCCGAAGTCTGACACCAACTAGCAAACTTGGTGGAACAAATTTTGATCCTGGCATAGGACATAATACCTTTGTACTTTTCCACCCGGTTACCTTATGTCACTGATGCAGACTGGCATAGAAAAGGCGTCCAGACGTTCGAGATTCGGTTAGATATATTTTCATTACTTACATAAAACATCCATGTTGCCACTCTTTCACCAGAATCTTTGAACTGGGAATACTCCGACTCTGTATCACCATTCTTAGACTGAAACGAAAAACAAAATCGAGACAAGAGACAAATATAAAATGCCATGAGTAAGTATTTTAGGCATTCTGCTGGCTATTTGGATATGATATTTGTAAATTCAATTGTGGACAATTATCAGGCAATAATTTTTGTATAATTTTGTTTGTATGTGCACTGAGTATTATCATTATTAAGCAAGCCGTCAACGATATCCATTTTCGACAACAGTCCAGATAGTAATGGGAAGTGATCTGCTATTCTGATCATCACAATATATTGAGAAACATATTTAATATTAGGCTATACAAGCTATGAATGGATGTAGTAGGCTTCATTATGTAAAGTAAATAATTTTGATGGGAATGAAGAGGGGAATTTGATTATTTACTATTATGGACAGATGTGCTTACCAAACAGTCTAGATGAGGACCATATAAACCTCCCAAACCATAGTTCACCACCTAAAAGAAAACAGGGAAAACTGTGTACGAGGATATCTAAGAATAAGTGGGATATCTCAATCGGATTGAAACAAATTTTTGTCACCAACGAGTACACTCATTTGATGAATCATAGACACAAGAACTACAACACTGTATAAAGGATTTGGACCTTTTCAACACGCTAATTGAAACCATGGCCTTACTTTGGGTTTCCCAAAGACATACTCTTGAGTACAAACATCTGTGAAGCAAATCTATATTCTCACCTGAAAGGCTTCGGCATATGTATTGTATGGACGCACTTCAGTCTTGAATCCCGTTAACAAACTAATACGTCTGGATAATCGACTAACAACTGGATTAGTATCGTACAACCAAGCACTGGAAATAGATAACAAATAAATCACAACCGTTTTTTTTCAGAATCGCCAATATAGACATAAAAGAATCAGTATGTATGAATTAAGATTGTATTTCTCTTTGGGCAGATACTGTCAAATGCCACCTCTATTCTAATAAGCCTCGGTTATTATGTCTAAAGAAGAATATAGTTTAAACAGATTTAACGGAAGAGGTTATAAATTCTGTCACTAAGATAAGGGAACATCCACGATTTTACCATGTCCAGGCCCGTAGTTACAGGGTGAAAAGTGGTGACAATAACCCCCCACCCCCACCGATATATTACTTGCCCCTCCAAACATTCAAGTCTGGCAACCTACATACATGTAGATTCGTGGCCCTTAACCAAACCTCTTGCAGATTTACCAGTCAGAATGACTAGGATATACTTCTCCAAACCAAACTTTCGGAATATGACCTTACTTACTTTTTACTGATCCTGGTTTCATCTTCTCTGTGTACCTTGTCATCACCAAGAACATACGATCTGAACATCTAAACACAATATGAAATATGATCAAAATGTGGTCAGAAGGAGTTATTTCCCTTAAATATGAGGCCGACAAGGAACATACCATTCACCCACTTGACTACCTCAGAGCATCAGATAGCCCCTTTCACAATTTGAGAATCCTGCATCATCGGTTTCTCTTCGCTTAAATCCTACTACAGATAACATATACGAATCAATGTATGCTTAATTTTTGTTTTTGTAAACAGCATCGTTCAGCTTACCCCATCCTTGGCAATACTTTTCAAAACTTTGATTTCGTGGTCATTGATGACGTCATGAAAGACTAGTATATCAGGGTCGAAGTTAATATATTCTAGTTTAGACTGTATAAATGGAATACTGGTTCTCTGGTATTTACAAAATAATTCCGATAATTCTTCTAATGACTGAAATAAATACTGAGATTGTAGCCTCCGTAGCCTAATATCAACATTATGCCTATTGCCGAGGACGGCGATGAATTATGCTGATGCTGACGAGAATTATGGTTATGCTGACGATGACCATGCTTATGCTGACGAGAATTATGTTAATGCTGATGATAATTATGCGGAAGATGAAGATGATTATGTTAATGCTAACGATGATTATGTTAATGCTAACGATGATTATGCCGATGCTGACGAGAATTATGCTGTCGCTGACTATGATTATGTTAATACTGGTGATTATTATGTTAATGCTGGTTCTGACGAGAATTATTCAGATGCTGGCGATTATTATGTTAATGCTGGCGATGATTATGTTAATGCTGACGAGAATTATGCTGATGCTGGCGATTATTATGTTAATGCTGACGATGAGTATGTTAATGCTGACGAGAATTATGCAGATGCTGGAGATGATTATGCTGATGCTGGCAATGATTATGCTGATGCTGGCAATGATTATGTTAATGCTGACAAGAATTATGCTGTCGCTGACTATGATTATGCTGATGCTGGCGATTAATATGTTAATGTTGGAATAGATTATGCTGATGCTGGCAATGATTATGTTAATGCTGACGAGAATTATGCTGTCGCTGACTATGATTATGTTGATGCTGGCGATGATTATCTTAATGCTGACGAGAATTATGCTGCCGCTGACTATGAATATGTTGGTGCTGACGAGGATTATGCAGACTCTGGCGATGATTATGTTAATGCTGGCTATTATTATGTTAATGCTGACGAGAATCATGCTGATGCTGACTATGATTATGCTCATGCTAACGAGAATCATGCTGATGCTGACTATGAATATGTTGGTGTTGACGAGGATTATGCAGGCGATGATTATGTTAATGCTAGCTATTATTATGTTAATGCTGCCGAGAATCGTGCTGATGCTGACTATGGTTATGTTAATTCTGACGATGATTATGCTCATGCTGACGAGAATCATGCTGATCCTGACTATGATGATGATGAAATACTGTCACTTGTCTGACTATTTTTGCCTCTCAATATCAAGGCTGACTGGTAATAATGTCATTTAACTTACCTTAATCTCTTTGTTACATAATTCCAGATAGTTCTGTGTTTTATGTAGTGTTTTGGAATGATTGGCCATGATTTCTCGATGGGATTGCAGAGGACGGAGATGTCGGACGTATTCTGTCTCCATATTTTGATATAAGACTATATCTCTTTTTAAAGATGTACTCCAAGGCTCTGAAAAAATATTATAACTTTGCTTATTACTTATGAAGCTTAATTGAATTAATTTGAATCTAAAGGCTAAAGCAGAGATTTCGACAGCCTCGCGACACTGGGGTGCAAATAGGGGGAGGGGGGGAGGGGGGGGGGGGGAAGCTGACTTTATGAGGGAACAGCTTATATGGTGGAAGTGATATAGGCATTAGCCTACCATGGATGGTCTGAGAGGATTTTTTTCTCAAGAAAAAAATTGAATAGAATATCTGACACATATTTTGGGACGGAAACTTATAAAAAATGTTATTTTTAAATTTAGCAGAAATGGGGAGGGGCTACAAACCATTACCCTAAAGAGATATGGTCGTCCAATTTCGAAATAAATATCTAACGCCTTGTTTTCCTCCTTTAACTTTGGTTAATATATATACTTGCCTATAGTCAGTGCCTGTTTTAACACATCAACTGCTAACTGAGGTGCATTCAACTGAAAAACACAAATCAATGTAATCAGCTGCAACATGGCAAAATCTTTGATCAGAGCATGGTGTCAAAAAAGCTATTTTCGACAGCCAGTTATTGTCAACAACCAGTAATTGTCGACAGCCGGTTATTGTCGACAGCTAGTTATTGTCGACAGTCAGTTATTGACAACAGTCAGTTATTGGCGACAACCAGCTATTGTAGACAACCAATCATAGTCGACAGCAAGTTATTGCCGACAGTCTATTTTGTTGACTGTGTTTTCCGTTATTTAGCTTTGCCTACGATATTAATTCAGTCAGACAGCGTATCGACATTCTCATAAACACCAGATAAATTATTTGTACCCTATTATATATATTGCCGAGTGAACGATAGGCTCGAACTATCAGATCAATGGTGTTTCTTTCTGTTGAGAGAAGATGAATGGCGTCAGTTAACCATTTCTTGGCGTCGTAAAGATGATCGACTCTGGAAGCCGTTAGACCAATATTTAGAACATCAAAACCTGTAAGATTGCTGATTGTCGAGGAAGCGAATATGCCACTATGAAAGCGACGACTGTTAATATTGTAAGCGTTGCCTATGCGTATTAATGCTAAGCCGGCCCCATCTAAATCAGTCTGGTTGGGCCATGTAGACATGCTCTGACTGTTATTATACACAGAATTTATAAAATCTGAAATAGAAATTAGAGATTGATTAAAGAATGGAAAGAAATGAAATTGTCCCAATGGCTTATAGGATCTTCATCCATGGATCTTCCCAAGCGCCGAATTAGAAATTTGCATATTTGGCGCATCAGACCTACGGTGCATAAAAAAAATTTAGATCGGAATTTTTTTTTCCATCTTTAGTTTCTTTTCCTCTTTCTTACACAACGACTTTTTTCCCGTCTACTTTCAATAGACTTTCTGTCTCATTATACTTAGACGGAAACTGTTCTACCCTTATTACAATATAAATTCTTCCCAATCAGATAGGTTCACTCCTTTTTATATATGAAAATGAAAATGCTAATACTTATATGAATAGAAAGGTGTTCTGATGACTTGGAAAATACCAGTTTGTCTCACATATCCAGAATTAATTCATAATTAGCTAACTTAGAAGATAATTACCAGCAGAATTCCAAAGATTTTTTTTTACCTTCTTACATGGGAGAATCTTTCCTCGTCCGCTCTGTAGATAAATTGGGCGTTATCTGATAAAGCAGTAAGCAGCCCGTTATACTTACACGGAAGCGATGTGTTGTCCTGAACAGAACAATTGGAATACTGTTGTAGTCGTTGTCCCCATACTGCTACTATTCGATATAAAAATTTGTAACTATTTACAGGGTTCTCTAAGCACCTTGGGTTTTTAGATATCAGTTTATTGGCATATCTCATGTCATCTACAAACCTGAAACGAAATGAAACATGCACATGGAAAAAACAGAAACGAAGCATGCATTTGGAAAAAAAGCTAACAGACAAAGGTTCAATGGATCTGGTCCTTGGCCAACCCTGTTCGCATTGATCTATCTCGTATTATTCGAAAACAATTTTCAGTAAGATAAAATGAAGTAATGAAGAAAGTTGTCATATCTAGGGTCAACAGGTTCTTAATGCTGACATTGATCACATTTATAACGTTCCCAATGTAACCAGATAAATTAAAAAAAACAAAAATTACAACCCGCCTTCAGAGAGGCGACAAATTAATAAAAAAAAACATACAATAATCTTACCGTTTAAGATCTCTGATGTCGGACGTCTCCCGTTTTTTACTTAAAAATCTATCAAAAGTTGAAATCAGCTCCTTTTCTTTACCAGGTAATTCTTGTAATTTACACAGTGCCGAAAATATATCACAGTGGATGATTGGTATCCAGAATGCATGTGCATATAAAACACACGTGCATATTTTACTTTTGACAATTTTCATATTCAAAACTTCGAATCACTGAAGACAAAGCATGAATTCACTAATAACTTTTATTTTTTTCAGTTCGTCTTGCAAGTTCTTGTAACAGTCCTTTGCTTCTTTTCGTTCGTTGTAATGTTTTGAAAGCTAAGAATATTATGGTCATCTTAGCTTTTTATCTCCTACATATAAACCATCCGGCCTGGAATTTATCACAGAACACATGGTGTGTATTTTATAGTCCCACCACTATGATGTTTATAAATTATTACTTTCCATTGTACTCCAGTGATAACTCGCTCAGCTGTAAATAACAATCATATATTATGAATGAAAACTAGGTGTGTTCTTTTAGCTACTCTAGTATCAATAGCTTTATTAATAATTAACAATACAACTTTAAAACAATATAGCTAATTAGTTCGCGATACATAGATGATGAATATATCAAGTGAACAATTTAAGTTTGTGAAAATGACAGAAAGGGATTTGAGTTCTGAACGTTCATACTAAATAAACGTTATCAAATATGTCAGCTCTCTGAAATGGATGCCCAGTTGACAAAAAAACAGTTCTTTATATATGGACTATTTACTATAATGAAAAATATATAGACACAGCTTTATAGAACATCAATCACTGGTTAAAGTTTTATGCAACGTTTCGACGTGTTTCCCCCGTCGTCCTCAGGCACATAATGAGAAGAACTGTTGGGCAAACTATATATACATTAATATAGTACTCACAATTGCTAAATGCCGTTCAAAGACTATAATGCCAAATAAGTGCCAAGTGGCAACGAATCAAGCGATTTGGGCGAGATTGGTGAAAATAATAATTATCTCATCTCTTATATTAATTATGATGTTTAAATATTAAGTATTGGTTATAATTATAATATTTAAGTATTAAGTATTGGTTATAATTATAATATTTAAGTATTAGGTATTAGTTATAATTATAATATTTAAGTATTAAGTATTGGTTATAATTATAATATTTAAGTATTAAGTATTGGTTATAATTATAATATTTCAGTATTAAGTATTGGTTATAATTATAATATTTAAGTATTAAGTATTGGTTATAATTATAATATTTAAGTATTAGGTATTGGTTATAATTATAATATTTAAGTATTAAGTATTGGTTATAATTATAATATTTAAGTATTAAGTATTGGTTATAATTATAATATTTAAGTATTAAGTATTGGTTATAATTATAATATTTGAATATTAGGTATTAGTTATAATTATAATATTTAAGTATTAGGTATTGGTTATAATTATAATATTTAAGTATTAAGTATTGGTTATAATTATAATATTTGAATATTAGGTATTGGTTATAATTATAATATTTAAGTATTAAGTATTGGTTATAATTATAATATTTCAGTATTAAGTATTTGTTATAATTATAATATTTAAGTATTAAGTATTGGTTATAATTATAATATTTGAGTATTAAGTATTGGTTATAATTATAATATTTAAGTATTAAGTATTGGTTATAATTATAATATTTAAGTATTCGGTATTAGTTATAATTATAATATTTAAGTATTAAGTATTGGTTATATTTATAATATTTCAGTATTAAGTATTGGTTATAATTATAATATTTAAGTATTAAGTATTGGTTATAATTATAATATTTGAATATTAGGTATTGGTTATAATTATAATATTTAAGTATTAAGTATTGGTTATAATTATAATGTTTGAGTATTAAGTATTGGTTATAATTATAATATTTAAGTATTAAGTATTGGTTATAATTATAATATTTAAGTATTAAGTATTGGTTATAATTATAATATTTAAGTATTAAGTATTGGTTAAATATTATAATATTTGAATATTAAGTATTGGTTATAATTATAATATTGAAGTGATGTATTTGTTATAATTATAATATTTAAGTATTAGGTATTGGTTATAATTATAATGTTTGAGTATTAAGTATTGGTTATAATTATAATATTTAAGTATTAAGTATTGGTTATAATTATAATATTTAAGTGATGTATTGGTTATAATTATAATATTTAAGTATTAAGTATTGGTTATAATTATAATGTTTGAGTATTAGGTATTGGTTATAATCATGATATTAAAGTATTAAGTATTGGTTATATTTATAATATTTAAGTATTAAGTATTCGTTATAATTATAATATTTAAGTATTAGGTATTGGTTATAATTATAATATTTAAGTATTAAGTATTCGTTATAATTATAATATTGAAGTGATGTATTTGTTATAATTATGATATTTAAGTATTAAGTATTGG